CCTCAGCCAGCAAAGCTGGCTGAGGAACTCTGGGAGTTGAAGTCCACAAGTCTTAAAATTGCCAAGGTTGGAGAACCCTGGTGTAGCACTTTTGGTCTTTTTAAATCTTAATCTCTTCATCTATATGAACAATAATAAAACTCCGACTGAGTGAATCGGGAGATCTGTGTAATTCCAGACTTGACAAACTTTGTAACATAAACCCAACAGTGATCCAAACTTTTTTCCACCAAGCGATCTTGAGGCGCGCTGACCTCGGAGAAACCTAGTTCCAGGCTCTGTCCCCTGCCACTTCCCTATAACCAACGAAGTGAGTAAAAGGACAAAAGCTAGTTTTGCCTTCCACACAAGATCTAATAAACGAGTACCTTTCTCAGAGACGCTCTTAAAGCAAAATGGTCTTCCGTGTATAATAGGTGATCTCCGGACGGGGCGACACTACTATAAGAGCGGTGACTCGGATTAAGCGAACAACTTTCTGGAAAGCCTGCAATTGAGACGCCAACAAAACGTCGCAGGGGTGGTTTGAACAACTTCATTAGCTCTTTAGTATTGAAAAGAGATCTCCGTAAGATCGCCATGCTGTTGGATACTGCACGACTGGCGCATGCGTTGTCGTTCGAAAATGGCAACTAGTTTCGGCGTATAATCCCCGCCTGCAAGATTATTTTTTTTTCTGCTACCAAGGAGTTGTATTGCGCTGGGTCTTTAAAATGCTCAATTGCTGATGTGGAGACATACAGAACTGTCACTGGCAGCGGAGGATTGCCCAATTATATAAGCATGTCTCAGAAAGACGTAAACTAGGACGCAAGTTTTCGAATTTCCCTGGAAAGATAATGGGGTGTTTCACGATTTTCAAAAATCGTGAGAAGTGGAGGATCGCTATGGTTGCTTATTCATCCTCCCGATGCAACCAAATATTGGAATATGATAGAGCACTGTGCTCATTTACTTTAAATAGGAAGTTTAATTTGCTTTAACTTTCTCCTCCCCCCCCCATCCCCAAATGATCTTCATAATTGTTCTTAGAAAGTAAAAATTGTGAGTGAGCTAAGCCAAATACTCCGTTACAGTTGTATCCCTCTGAACAGAAAAAAGATCATAGTTAGTATGAGAAGATGGGGTGGAGGATAGCAAATCTCTGCTTTCTGGTTAGATACTGTTCCTTTGCGAAAACTATTTCATGAGAACATGAACACTCCCTCAACAGGCAGTATGTCCTGATTAAAGGTTTTAATTCAGTTTGCTAATAAGTATTTCATTATAAACTTCGTGTTTATTATGTCATCACTTCATTGCAGAGGTTCAGAAAATATTTCTGAAATAAAAATCCTTTGGTTCTTCATAATTCATATGTTTTGATAGTCTTCATTCTTAGAATTTTACAGGAAATCCGCTTTATTAACTATCTACCTTCTTTGGATTCTACTAGAATTTTTTTAAATGTTCAAATTAAACACTTCAATTAATTACATGTGTAATGAATTGATAAAAGGCTAAACAACGCTAATCCAGCCTGATGCCTTCCAGTTATGCTACAATGTCTATAAATTCTAACCAGTGTGTATATTATGGGAATGATGGACTCCTTCATCTCAAAAACATAAGTTTATTTTTACAGCTATAATTTTAATTTAGAATCCTAAATATTATATTGGTATATATACTGGTTAGGTTACTAAATGAATAACAGAGAGTGTTGCACCTGGATAAGCTTTGCAACACTACTTTGCCAGAATTGAAATCCAGTGAGAGCATTTTGAGGGGGGGGGGAAAGTACGTTACAAGTTTCTCTTAATCAGAGGTTAAAGGGGTGTGACCTCCAAATTTTGGAACTGTAGCCCTATGTTTCTATCCAATCCTTCCCTTTTGTATTTAAAAAAGCAGCCAAAATCACTGTATTCCACCAAGCTTTTAACACTAGGCCCTGCACTTAAGATATTTTAAAGCAAGATGATAACACATACGTTGTATAAAACTGAGATCTCAGCCTGGTACTATAAGGTTATTGTCCAATTGGAAATACTCCAAAACAACTTCATTAGGTAGGTTTTAGATTAGAGTCTCCCCAGGTATACTTGCTGCTTATTTAAGAACAGAGTGAAGGCTAGTCTCCATCATGGTCAAAATACATCTTGAATTGTTGAGGCACTATGAGAAGTTTGAAAGTCTCAAGAATCCCATCTTCCAAAGTCTGTTTTCTCCATTGCTAAGTTGGGAACCAATTGACCAAACTACCATCCATCTTAAAAATGGACTTCAGATGTAAAACCATAGCATTAATAAATAAGTTACTTGTGCTCATTTAGATTTGGATAATACTACTTCTAGATACTTTTCAACTTCCAACTGGGACCGGAATTTATGCTGGGCACAGTGATTGTTAAGGGAAGCATACAAAGTTTCTTTTTTTTTTTTTTTGTCATAGTTGTTAGATAAATCTCCACAGCTATTCAGTGAATCACTGCAATTGTTAAGTGAATCATGTGATTGCTAAGTGGAACCAGCTTCCCTCATTGACTCTACTTGTGAGAAGTCAGCTGAGAAAGTCACAAATGGTGGTCATACTATCCTGAGGTACTACCCACTATTGTAAATATATGCTATTGGAATTTTGATCCAGTGACTAAGAAGAGGCTGCAAGGATTATAAGCAGAGGTGGTATACATCTGGAGAACCAGTAGCTGAAATTTTGAGTAGTTCGGAGAACCGGCAAATACCACCTCTGACTGAAGATTTTACAGTATCCTTCCCCTGCCACGCCCATGAAGCCACGCCCACAGAACCAGTAGTAAAAAAAATTGAATCCCACCACTGATTATAAGGATGGACCAGACTGGCTGTAAATCACATTTTTACTGTTGTTGCAATAGTTGCTAAACAATAGTTGTAAATTGAGCACCTGTTTTTGCAATGTGGAAATCTATGAGCTTCCAGGTGTTGCCAAATTAGATTATGCAGGATGAATTGTGAAGGCTATTGAGAATCGGAGATTAACAACCTTTGACTTAGATTTAGCGACTTAGAATAACTTTATTGTAACTTTGAATGTATACTACAATCAGCATACATTAAAATGAAATTATGTTGCATACAATTGTTGCCATGAGGACATTTGAATTAAAATCCTATATTATGAAGGGGGGGATGTCATAATGTTTCATTCAGATTTTTTTATTTTTACCAAAATTATACAGTAGTTAATAATAATTTCAGCCAGTGAATGCAAGTAATTAAGAATACAAAACAGCCTCTTGAAAGAAATATAATAATATGGTAAGCAAAAATTTGTTTCAGGAAATAATTGTTCTGTTATTTTTTTTAAAAAAAAAAATTAATTTGTACAATAAGATTCCTGAGCTTTAAATTAAACTAGCTATACTATAGTAGGTTATTTTTCCCAGTTTCTAAATTATCTGCATTCTTCTAAGCAATTACACACCCTCCTTTCTCTTTGAAAGGGTTCCTGTCTTCAGGAATGCCTTTCACTAGAGGGTCTTCTCCCGATCTTTCTTCAATATAATTTTTAATTTCTTCAGAACACTTAGACACCTTAAGGGGGAAAAAAAGAGAAAAAAACATATTTAAATCTCTTTTATAAAGGTAGAAAATATCCCTTTGATATGCAGAGTTTATGAAACTGAGGAAGAGAAGAATTGTCACCTTGTTTTGTATCATAAGAAGCATAACATATGCATGCTGGGTATTATGAAATACAGCCTCCCAGAGTAACTTGCATAATGTTTATAATGAATTGTTGCATAATAAAATGAACAGCATTCTTTTTCCCATGTGCTGAATAAAACTCTCTTGCTGTTCTGTAAGGATGGAAGTAAGCAGTATTTTTCCATACAATCACAGCCTATAAGCTTTGTCACCAATTACCTTTGTAGGAATTCAGGTGCCTGGCAATAACTGGTGGCATTGATAAAGTAAACAGAACCAAGATATAAATCAGCAATGGGGATACATTTCATGCTGGTCATTTTTGCCAACTCAAAGATATATAGTATATATAGCATTATGATTTAGGAATGGTGAAAGTCATATGACATACAAAGATGTGGTAGGGTAGTCTAAGATATTAAAAGTCCAAGACTTGGAAACTGAAATATCATAAATTTGCAACCAAAATAGGATAATACTCTCTGTAGAGGCATCCGTCCCTAGTTAAAATTCTATAATCCCTAGTTAAAATTCTAATTATGGTTATTTGGCATGTTGACGATATATGCTAATGTAATATGTACATAATATGAATGATTCCAGTACAAGAAGTGCCATACAGAATTCAGGTCACTGAATCATGACATTTTCATTAAATATATAAATTAAGTAGAAATAAAATGGAAAAATAGAAATTCTTGCCATAATATAATCATTATTATATAAACTATGGCTATTCTAAAATTATGACTATTATGACTGACTAAGATATCTATACACTGTATGAAGCTGCCTTAAACTTCGTTCAACTGAGATCCACAATGGAAATGCTTGGATAATCCTTTATTTGAAAAACAAATTGAGAAGAATTGAGCAATGAGTTTGCTTGAGAAAGCATTTGAGAAAATTCATTTGTTCAAAAAGCTAAGGGAAAAGTTATTTTATCAGGATTAGCAGAATTATATTTATTTTACAAAGGGTAACATTAATACATTTCAGGGTTTACCAAACATTTAAAGCAGTGATCCCAAACCTTTTTTACGCCGCGGCCCGGTATCCCCAACCTTTTTTATGGCGCGGCCCGGTACCGGCATTAGCTGGGCGCCGCCATCTTTTTTTGATGAAAAAGTGCTTCCGGTGAGCTTTCTACCCGGAAAAGCTCACCGGAAGCACTTTTTCATCAAACAAAGATGGCGGCGCCCAGCAAGCCAGCGGCCCGGTAGGACTTGTTCCACGGACCGGTACCGGTCCGCGGACCGGTGGTTGGGGACCCCTGATTTAAAGGACATGTTTTATAATTGTTTATTGTATTAAGTATTTGTATATAGTTCTAGTTCTTTTTTTAAAATCCATAATTAACAAAAAAGCAAGTATTATCTGCTTTTGTATTTAAGTGTCAGGTTTCCTACCCACCAGACTTTTGTTGTTGTTATATTTTGATTAAAAACATTTAGGAGAAGCTTTTCTGTTTCTCACAGCTAAATTAGGTAGGTATCCAATTCTACTGATGGGCATTTTAGTAATTAATCTGGGCACCAATAGATTATGCAGACATTCTTAGACTATAAAGCTACAGCTTAACACTTTTGTTTGGAAATATGTTCACCTGTTTAGGAAAAAAAGAGAAATATAATTTGCCAATTAGTGCAACATTTTGGTGTCTATGTTATGTTGTTCCTTTTAGCCATCTGACTTAGCATGTTTTTGAATTTATGTAAAATACATTGCAGTATTCGAGTTGTGTCATTGTTAGGCCACCATATTCTGAGCTGAACCAACCTTTGGGAGTCATAAGCAGGGCTTCCCAGTTGACCTACTGAATAGGCTGGATGATATCAGAGATAAAATCTCGAAAGTGGTTTATTCCAAAGCCTATTAAAACTCATCTCAATGAAAAAGTCTTCCCAATTAGAGGAGATCTATGCCCCCAAACAATTTTTTAAGACAATGCTTAAAGACATACTTTACTCAAGTTCTGGCCTGTGGGGTGCTTAGATCTGGCCCACAGGGCTACCCTGGAAATAGTGAAGGACTGGCCTGTGGTGCCTCTGCCAGCGAAAACGGGCTTCCAAGCTCTATTTTTGGCTGTGATGACCTCCTGCAACCCTCTGACAGCAAAAACAGGGTTGCAGGAGAAAGTTGCAGCCAAAAATGGAGCTTGGGAGCCTGTTGTCGCTGGCAGAGCGCTCGGGCTACCACAGGTGCCCCTGACACAAGTGACATCGAGCTGGTCATGCCCCCCTGCCTCCGAGGCCAAACACAAACCTGATGCAGCCCTCAATGAAATCAAGTTTGACAAGCCTGTTCTTTTATTATTTATTTATTTATTTATTATTTATTTATTTATTATTAAATAATAAATTTCAGTTCACATAGGAATTTATAGGATAATATTCCAAGATCAAACTGCTGCTTTTAAAATGTTTATTGTTGTATGTTTATATGTTGTTTGTAGATATTTAAATTTCATTGTTGATGTTTTTAAAGATTTGGATATGGAGAGAGAGGAGAGAAGGATAACATATAAATATACATCAAATCAAAATAATATTAAAAATAAATTTATAATACACTGTTAAGATAAATGTGTAACTTTAAATTTAAGAAATAGAATCTGTACTATCTGAATATAAAGCAGATTTTTTACTGAGAATTATGGCTAACTCTGTAAATATCAGTAATTGTGTATCATTCAAAAACAGCACAAATATAAAACACAATGTTAACATATATTTAATACATCCTGGTACTTACACTGCCATTGGGTTAATTTTATAAATTTGTCTTTCTGCTAATGCACTAGTGATGCTATACTTATCCACTTTACTATGTGTTCAGGAAATACACATTTCTGGAAACAATTTTCGTAGTCAGGTAAATGCCTCATTTTTATGTCATGGAAATTATCTATCATAGCAATCGTAATTCTGAATACTGCTCAGAATGCTTTTTTCTGCCTTTGACCATTCATTTCTTCCATGCTGTTTTATAACTTGGTCCCTTAAGTCTTATATTTAAGCTATAAAACACCCCAAAATTAGCTCTCTGTTTGTACAACCCATAATCAGCCTGTTCACGCTTCTTTCCTTTCCTGATAATTATGGGTTTTCTTTAAGCTGTGTTTGTGTCATCTATTTTGCCATGAATGTTGAACAGACATTCTCCACAGTCAATCATTCCCAGGCTGTGGTTGAGGTTACAGGTAAGGAGGAAAAGGCAGTGAGGATCAGTAGAAAAAGCTCAAAGCTTTTTGGTTCCCCCCCCCAAAAAAAAGGTTCCATTCTAGATTGTAAAATATAATGATAAATTAAATCAGTATTATGGGTAAACAAAACAGTTCTAAAAGGATGAAAATGTTATTGCCAGAGCCAGTCCTAGACATTTTACTGCCCAAAGTAAGAAAATGCTTATGAAATATAATAATATATTAAATTGGTTCACCAGCTTGGCTAATTATATGCATGCCCTAATTTAAAAAAGAAAGGAAGGAAGGAAAAAGAACAACTCACAAAAGAATAATCTCAGTGAAGGGTAATTGTACTCATTAGGCACAGATTGCTATCTGACTATAGAAAATATAGTAAGAAATAGTTAGAAATAGAGTAAGTGAGACAGGAAATGAATTAGGAAAGTAAAGATGAGCAATCCACTGGTTATGTCTTGTTGCAAGATCCACATCATTTAAGTAACAGATAACTTGTCAGGTGATTTTTTTTTTTTAAATTATCAGAATGACATCAATAAAAATAAGATGACTAAAAACAACTTGTACATCATATGTAGCCCTGATATAAAAAAAAAATAACAAGAATGTTTCTAATACTTCTAAAAGCTGAACAAACTTGCCACTGTAAATTTTAAGAACTTTTGAGTGGCATCAGGCTGGTCCTTTTAATAATGGAATACAAGACAAACTATAATTTCTACTCACTTTGCTTGAGAGAGATTGGGGGCAGGGGGAGAGGGAGATATTTTCTTAATCTTGAAGAACTGTTTACAGTATTCTCAAAAGAAAATGTGCAATAAACCTACCAGGAGAAAATATTTGCCTCCTTAAGTGAAGCAACTCAGTCCCAATGCATTAATAATTTACATAGAATACATTGCAATTTTTTTCAACACACACACACAGAGAGACATTGAAAACACTGAATCCTGTTCTTAAAACATTATTTAGAACTCAAGAGAGAAAATCATTAGGGTGAACTACTTACAGGTTGCCTTTCCAATTTGACTTCTTTTCGGAGTTGTTCTACTTCCATTTTCAGTTTATCCTTTTCACTTAGGTCCTCTATGTTGATTGCTGGCATTGCTGGTTTAAAGAAAAAAGAAAGTGTGAGTTTGAGATCTCTCTCTTTCTCTCTCTCTCTCTCTCTCTCTCTCTCTCTCTCTCTCTCTCTCTCTGTGTGTGTGTGTAAAAAAGTAAAATAAAATTACGAGAATACAGCCGATGAAGGAAAATCCTTACTTTTTGTATGAATTCCTCCTGATTTCTCTAAAGTAAAGTAGCTGTTTCTTCTTCAGCCAGCTCTCTAAAGCTTCTAGTAACCATTTGAAGGATTTTAATTCATCAGCAGTATTTATCCAAATATATACGCCACAAAAATTGCCCCATCCCCTTCTAGTTTTTATTGCTTCAAACCAAAATGAGGCCTTCCACATTCATGGAAAGCCAGCCAACCTTCCTTCATGCCATGCCCAAATTGGCTAAAATAGCTCTAACAGAAAACACAGACACAAAAAGAATCCGTTCCTGCTACATGGAATCTTAAACTGCTCAGATATAGAAGAGTTATCACAGAAAAGAAAAATCCTCTTGAAAAATTTAATCTGATATTGGCACACCTGTTCACACTACACAAAGATGTTTGTGTATAAAATGTCTTCCATCCATGAAGGGAGCATGAAATGAGTTGTGAGGAGTGGCAGAGTGAAGAGAAGAAACCTATTAGAGGCAGGATATGGGCCTCTCCTTTTGTTACGATGGAAATACCAACCATGGTGAGAGTTCGACAGGAAACAGGTTTGCTAAGGAAACATCTGGCTGTTTCCCTGTGCCAAGCTGGAAAACAATGGGGGTGTTTGGAAAATTAACATGTGAAAATAGGGAAAGGCAAGTATACAGAAAAGCTTGTCCCTCTAGGCACATGTCCTGCGTTACTCATTTAGATGGAAGTTCATTTAAGTGAATGCCCTATGGAATGCCATTGGACTTACTTCCAAGAAGGCATGTATGGGATGGCTCTAGGGGTGGGATTCAATTTTTTAAACAACAGGTTCTATGGGCGTGGCTTAGTTGGTGGGCATGACTTGGTCATGTGACTGGCTGGGTGTGGCCAACTCAATATCACTCACATTGAGGCACGCATCTCCTCGCCTGGCCTCTCATGACTGTGGGGATCTTTAACAGTCATAAGTGTGAAAAATGGTCATAAGTCACTTTTTTCAGTGCCATTGTAACTTTGAATGGTCACTCCACACAAGCAAAGTACCAGAAAAGGAGGGGGAAAAACCTCCAGAGAAGTTCCAGAGACAGGAAGTCTAGTCTTGCCAGGAATGTAATAAGGGTTAATGGAGAGGCAGTTTCTGTAAGCAACACCAGAATGTTTCCTTCCTGCCTTCCTTACAGGATTAGGCCAGTAATTTCTTCTAACAACCGGTTCTCCAAACTGCTTAGAATGTTAACAACTGATTCTAGCGAATAGGTGTGAACTGGTAGAATCCCACCCCCGGATGGCTCTGCGTTTCCTGTGCTTCACTTTGACCAAGTTATATAAAGGTGCCCCTTTTTTTGTATTTATAATACCCAAATGCTAATTCCAATTTTTTTGTTGTTGTTTGCATGAATTGTTTGCAGGTTTTGTGTCCCCCCTCTCACTATTTATTTTAACTAGTTAGTTAGTTAGTTTACTTTATTGTCATTGCACCTTGTACAACAAAATTAAATGCTATCTTCAGTGTACATTATAACTATAAAAATAAAACACAAACACACATCCTTCAAAGTAGTGAAGAGGCTCATGTCGCAGCAAAAGGCAGGCAGCAATGGCTGTCTTGTGGGCGTGCAGAAACAGGCTGCAGGCATGTTGCGCATGCACAGTAAAAAAAACCCGGTTTGTTTAGCCTAGGAGGGGTGGATAGGGCGGGAGCCAGGGCCAGCGAAGGGAGGGGCAGGTGGGGGAGAATGAGGCAAGGATTTTCACTCATGCACGAAAAATGTCACACATGCGCAGTAAAAAAAATCAGTTTTTGGCCCATAGGAGCGGCGGCGGGGTCAGCTAGGGGTCAGTTTTACCGGTTCTTAGAACTACTGGTGATGTTAACAACTGGTTCTATAGAACCAGTGTGAACCAGTAGAATCCCATCCCTGCTAACCAGTGATATGATTGTAGCATATTCATAATAGTAAGACACATTCAGACATTAAAAACTTTTTGTGGAGGAGGAAAAACAATTGCTGGTTGAAAACAGATAGGATGTCTTGGTGTCTTGGTTATGTTTTGGGTAGGAAAATTTCCAAGCAGAAATGCTTATTATGAAAGCAGAAATAAATTACCAGTAATGGCATAGGATCAGCTTATTTGGGGATCTATCTTGTTCACATGGTTTCTTCCTACTCAGTATGATTGGCACACTGTAGTCAGTGCACTTTGGATCCTGTTAATCAAATAATATCATCTGTCAGGACAACCATAATGCACCTTCTCGGTTGTGATGACTTATGGAAGGAGATGCGTACAGATCCCATCCTTATGATGTTCTAGAAATCTTAAAAAACAGCAGGTCTTCCAGGCTTCAGGTAGTATGCTTGTGGAGCCCTGTCTGTGGTGGTTTGTTTTTAGGCATGTGGGACGTGGTTGGTCTTTAACTTTTCTAGTTGTTGTCTTCTGTTTTTAACTGTAAATTCAGAGTTACTCTGGAGTAAGGTGGCCTCTACATCATCATCATCGCAAGTCCTATGACAATGACTACTACTATTACTTAGCACCAGTTTGTGGTAGTGGTTAAGGCATCAGGCTAGAAACTAGGGCATTGTGAACTTCTAGTTCAACTTTAGACACGAAGTCAGCTGGGTGATCTTTGGCCAGCTCCTCTCTTCCAGCTGAGGAAGCAAGCACTGATAAATCACTTCTGACAAACTTGCCAAAAAAAAAACCCAACAACTTGTGGGAACTTCTTCAGGAAGTTACCAGGAATTTTTAAAAAGTTACCCCCACACCACACTGTTTAACAATGAAATTTGTAAAACCAGATCCTGCGCATAATAATTCATACTGCATTCTAAGTCAAGGTTAACTTAATTAATTCCATGAGAGACTGGATTTAAAATAAGGATTCTATGAGAACTACATCCATGCAATTTTTGGCAGCGTTATAAAACTAGCAGCTTGCCAATGCCTTCTTTGAAGATTTTTTTAAAATTACCAATCTAGCCAACACCTCTACATTTCCTAGATAATCCCCCCAAGTACTAATTATTAAAAGATAAGTCAAACTCTTGTGCAGTGTGAATCCTGGTAGGCAACCCATGGAATTGCTCCTGGATGAAACTCTATAGGACTCTCTATAGGAAGTTGAAGTCGTATCCACTTAATCCTGAACTGGCAAATAACTAGCATGGATTTGGTTACTCTCATTATAGATGCATTTCTACCTTTGGAATGGCATTGGCAATCAGTTGAGCTCTTTTCAAGGTAATAGGGTGACAAAACTAACTTTGAGGGTGCTTTAAGTAGTGTCCAAGTTAGAGGAAAATACTATTTCAACAGATTTTTCCAAAGACAAGCCTTTTTCATTAATGGGCATGAGATAAAGCTGCAGACAATGTCATGGCCGAAAAAAACATGATTTGCTTTTGTAAGTGCAAGTGGAAAAGCCTCTGAAAGGACTCAGAATATTCCCTGCCTTATGGAATGAGATCCATTATAAGATCCAAAAAGCTTCCATCCTAATAATGTTCCAGAGGTCTTTAAATGAGACATCATCAAATGACTCCACAGTCTTTAAATGAGCTGCTCAGTTACCACAGGCTTTTGCCACATTTTTGGCAGTGTTTAAAGTTGGCAAAAGTCTTTTTCCTTATGATGATTTTTTTTCTGACAGTGTTAAAACTGAAGGGAAAAAAAATCAGAATATTGCAGTATGTTCAAAACTTATTATGGTATCTAAGGACCTTAGTTCTTAAATACCGTAATAAGAATAATTGGATAAGAACCATTTCATCCAATGCCAAAAATTGTTATACCTAACTAGTATATAAACAAAACCATTTGGGTATAGCAAGATTTTAAAAGGCCATGAAATACAATGCCTCAATACACTATAGGTCTGTGATGGCAAACCTATGGCATGCAAAGCCATTTCTGTCGGCATGCAAGAGGTCGCCCGGAAGAGTTCTACTGCACATGTGCATGCCCCTGCCAGCCAGCTGATTGTCGGATATCTGCTGCACATGCGTGGGGGGAGACGTGCACATGGGAGATGCGCATGCATGCGCATGGGGCAGGGAGCATGCAGGGGGTCATGTGTGCATGTGCAGGGGGTGGGGCATAAACAGGGGTCATGCATGCAGACACAGGGGGCAGGGCACAAGCAGGGGTTGCGCACGCATGTGCAGAGCTGCAGGGCATGGGGGTCACGTGTGCATGCACAGGTGCACCGTGCTCACACAGGGGGTTGCACACGCATGCACAGGGGCGCGGGGGGGTCACGAGCATGTTGCATCACTTTCGGCACGTGATGTGGAAAAGGTTAGCCATCACTCCTATAGACAGTTCTCGACTTACGACCACAATTCAACTCTCTGTTGCAATAGAATAAGGCATTAACATCGAACCTCAACTTTTTACTTTTCCATAATAATATAAACTAGCCATTTCTATAATAACAAATCAATCTAATCAATAAAACCCAAAATCAAAGTTTCTTTTTTTCCACCTCAAGCACAATGTCCAGAAGCAGTCTCCAAGTAGAAACAAAAATACTTATATTATTTTCTTTTATCAAAACCATCAATTTAGCCATCTCTGCCAACTCCATCAGCTTCTGTGGCCATTCATCCATGGTGGGAATCAAAATGTCCTTCCACTTTTGTGCATAAGTAGTGTTGCTGCCATCAACATGTATAAGATTAGGGTTCCATTTTTTTCCCTAAGTCTTTTTCCATTAAACCCAAAAGAAAAATTTCTGGTTCCATCTTTATCTTCACTTTAAGAATTTTCTGTATTAAGATATAAATTCTACTCCAACATTTCTTTGCTTTATCACATGTCCACCATAAATATTAAAATGTCATTTCTTTACATTTACATTTCCAACATTCACTTGAAATACTTTTATAGTTTAGTGTGAATTTTAAACCTTTTGTTCACATATTCTCACATTGTTCCTTGCCCAAAGAATCATACAACATTTTACATGTTCACTTTCCAAATTCAGTTTCAATAATGTTTTATAAACCTTAGCACTAATTTGTTCATCACTACCATACAATAAGATTTCCAATTCATTTTTAATAAAGTCAAATCCATAACTCTTTTTATTTAGTTTAAATCTTTCTTTCAATTGTTGATATATGAACCAATGGCAAGCACAGTCTGTTAATTCTAACTCTTCTCTTGACATGAGAGTAGAATTTCACCAGAATTGAAATATATTATTTTACCATAAGTCCACCACTTTGCCACAACTTCTTTTGTAAAAAAAAAAAAAAAAACAGCTTCCTGGGGGATACCCCAAAAGGCAACTTCATAGAAAATCTTGTTTTACATTTATTCCAAATTCTTAGTATGGCACGTCTAACAAAGTGATTGCTGAAATCAATGTTAACTTTAACATTGTCATACTGTGCCATCCAAACCTTAATTCATGACCTTCTAAATGAAGTAATCTCTTAAAAGAGGCTACTAAAAGAAATTCACCCACTCTTTTAGCTAGGCCAGACAACTTGCATCAAAATAGGTTCAAATCTACTAAACAACTTATGACCACAATCGAGCCCAAAATTTATGTTCTAAGTGAGACATTTGTTAAGTGAGTTTTGTCTCATTTTGCAACCTTCCTTGCAAAGTTGTAAAATGAGTTATGACAACTGTTTAGTTACATGGTTGTTAAGTGAATCTGCCTTCCCCA